AAAAAAAAAAAAAAAAAAAATATATGGAAAATGAAAAATGAAAAATATATCATAGCATCACAATGGACAGCAATGAAATAGTTTGTAATTCTTGAAGAAGAATCATAAAAACTATTTTTCCCAACATCTAAAGGAATAAATAGTCATACCAAAAACTTCATAGATGGTCACTACAAACATTTTAAGATATAAAAATTGTCATATTAAGAAAACTAAGGGAAGATAGACACATAATGAACTATTACATATGACATCAAAGCTACTCCGCAAATGGTCCCAACATCTGCCTGAAACACCAAAAATCCTGCAACAAAGAATTTCTGAGTTAATATAGGATAGAAAACAGAAACTACACAAGCACATTGGGAGCACATGGAAACACTGCAGTTACAGTTAAACAAATATTTTTGTGGGATTCTTTCTTTCCTTTTTTCTTCCAATCTTTTTGACATGACTGTCGTCTTACAAACATTAATTGAAAAGGAAAAAACACTTGATAAATAGATATTTGTAAAAGTACTCACATATTTTGTTGAAGGCCACAATATCAACACTCTGGACATATTCATTGATTGGTTCAGCTGTAAGATAGTCCTCAATGAGGGTGTCAACAGAGACTAGATCGTCCACAATGGTAATCATAATCTGCAGCTTCTTGATTCCATAACCAACAGGGACGAGTTTAGCTGTAAAAACCACAAATATATTAACTTATCATTCTTGAAATGTGAGTCGAGTAAAAATAAATGCGTATTAGGAGTCAACACTGTTCAACGATAAACCTCCATATATGAATGATCATGACAGACAAAATATTATCATGTGAATTCAGGGTAGTCAGCTATCCAAATCAATGCCGATCCACATTGATAAAGAAGGCACGTATCTTACTGTGATAATTGGATATTCAAGTGCAGTTTATAACAGCAGGTAATATTCATAAATAGGAGAAAAAAGCTTACAAGCTCCCCAGAGGAGACCCTCCATCTGCACGCTTCTAACAGCTTCTTCAAGCTTTTTCATGTCAGTTTCATCATCCCATGGTTTTACATCCATCAGAACTGATGATTTCCCAGCTGAAGTGGAAAATGANAAAAAATCAGTAGTCCTAAAGATAATAATTATCGCTACTAGATGACTAAAAGATGAGAGTTATAATAATTACATCCATCATAATATTCCAAATAACTGGTGCAAACTTATTATACAAAAACTCAATCCAAGAACAGAATAGAATTCGACTAACATTTTTTCTTCTTTGAGGAAGCCTTGACAGCAGCAGCACGTTCCTCAGCAGCTTTCTTCTCTTCCTCGGTCTCCTCACCAAACAAATCCACATCATCATCGTCATCATCCTCAGCAGCTGAGGCCTGAAATTTATTCTCTTATCTATTTCAGCCTATAATTACCAACGTTCAAATTCAAACAACTCACTGTAACATGAATATCTTGCCTTGGTGTCCGCAGCAGGAGGGGTTGCAACTGAAGCCGAACCCTCAATCGTGACACCACTTCCTTCACCAGAAACTCCACTGCAAAATAAATATATATAGTTTAAAAAATAAGCTAGCCAATCTTTATAGGTTACTAAAAATTACAGTGTAAGGCAGGAGAGACATACGACATCCTTAACAAAGCTTCAATGTGGTTGTACCAACGTGACACATTCACATAGTCCGATGATGGAGGCTTTGAGAGGGCGGCATGAATTGTGAGATCATCCTTTGAAGCCTGATATCTAAAACATGGGAGAGAGACTACAGTTAAAACCATGGACGAAACTAGAAATAACTTTTGGGGAGACAAATATTATAGGGTAACAAAGGTACTTTTCCAAGCTTTGTAAGGCCATAGGATTTTAAAAATTAGCAATTTTGAACAAAATAAATAAATAAATAAACATCTAAACCTTAAACTTTAGAACAAATTAAATGATTAAGCACAATGTGCGCTTAATACACTACTGTTGGTCTGTACACCAATGTGAACAAGCTTCCAAATCTAACTTTTTACCCCAAATCCATATCCTATATTACCAAGCAACTCAGATCAATATATAGATGATTGGGCAAGAGTGTTTTAGGCGGTTGAATAATCACATCAGAAAATGGAAGAGCAGCAAGTAATTCATCACCCCTCGAATAGATAATTATAAAGTTAGTTTCTTTTTACCATCTCTTTAGTCATGTTCGTGTTGGCAGAGTAAAGCTGACACTTAATGATCCACTCACTACGCGGATCCTAATTCGAAAACTGAAAGGGATACATACAAATTGTTCATTGAATAACCAAATCGGAAACTTAAATCATGGAGCAGAAGTTGAGAAGACAGAGAATGAGAAAGGTAAAACACAACACACCCGGTAATGTAACTGCGAGATAAAAGGTAGTCATCGAGCTTCTTAAGGCCAGCCGCCGAGCTGAGGTCGTAGAAAGTGACAGCCATCGCTTGATAGCAAAGTGGATTTGATCTGTTTTTCCAAACAAACAATTAAAAGCTTGAGCTGCAATTTCATAACAATCGACGCGGGCTGAGCAAACGAGGCTCTCGTATACATAGAAACATTCAGACAGATACTTACAGAGAGTGGGGGCACAGACTGCGGGAGTTGAATCTCAAATGTTAAGGAGTGGTGGATTAAAGGTCTCCCAAGGGTTTTATAATCGCTTTATATTAGGGTTAGTATTTTTTGATCCAACACCGAACCGACGGCACTTGTAACGGTAATCGATTTTTGGTTACTGAATTACTATCGATTTTGTATCGGTCAAAAATAAAAATAATAATATAAGTGAGTATATTTTCACATATTTTCTGGTCCTCCCTTCAAGAGGATAAAAGAGAAGGCCAAGCACGGTCCCCGCACGATCACACTTCCACCATCTTTTCTGGAAACAACGGCCTCTGACTTGCCCTTGGTCGTCGTTCCACTGTCCTCAACACCTGCCTCACCATCTCCAATCAAGTCGACGCCATCAGCTGGTGTCGTTCCACAACTATCAGTCTTCGAGACTCTGGCTCGTACACCAACACCGCCTCCGACCGCATTGCAATGCCCGTGGTTGCTCCTACCTCGACTTCAGCTAAGGGGGAGACTTTCGGCGCACAAGGGTCCATGAGAATGTAATAATTGAGTGTTAAATTAATATTTAAAATAATATTCTTCCTAATATTCTTCATAATTGGCCAACCACCGGGGTTTGTTTTATTTCCCATTATTGAGTGTTATAATTTTGAGCAATTGGTCAACACCGGTTTGTTTTCTTTCCCACCACCTCAACAGCTATCCATATATTAGTGTTTTCTTTCTTTACCTTCCAAACAACCATTTATATATTAATGTTCTCTTTCTTGCCCACTAAAATAGATTAATGATCATTGGCATCTATAAAAAGGATATCAGATCATTAGTTGAAGAGTGCGAACAAAAGACACGGCAGAAAAGAGAAGGAAAGAAAAAGGAAGGAAAAGAGAGAAAAGAAAAGGGAAGGAAAAAAGAGAGAAGAAGAAAAAAAAATTATATATTTTTATTTTTTTTAAGTGCTCAATTCTCGACTCCGTTACAGTTCGCCGGAGCTCGTAAATCTGGTGTGCTACAGATTTAGAGACGTTTGCCGTTGTATCTTTGGGGAAGTTACGCCTGAACCGTTAGCAACACACGGGACGTATTCTTCTTGCGGAAAGAGTTTTACTCGCCTCGGCTAAAATCTTTCTAATTTTTTTTTTCTATGTAATTTATTTTTCAGTTCAATTGTAATTTTCTATTTTTAGATTATTTGTAAGAACTGAAAAAAAAAAAAAAATACATATCAGTTCTTAGGATTCCCGTGTAATTTTTATTCTAGATTTATAACAATCGCAAGAAGAATATCTCAACCTACTGGACTGATGGCTTCCACCGGAAATGGTTCCAACATTCAACATCCGATCAATCATGTACCTGTTGTCCATGTCTCTACTGCCGAGAAGCCCGAAAAATTAAATGGGCTTGATTTTAAAAGGTGGCAACAAAAGATGCATTTTTACCAGACCACTTTGGGTTTGGTGAAATACCTGAAGGACGACCCCCCGGTTATTGCTGAAAATGAGACCAATACTGAACTACGCACTGCGTACGAAGCTTGGGGGCAAGGTGATTACCTTTGCCGTAACTATGTCCTGAACGGACTTAGTAACGAGTTGTACAATGTGTACAACTCGGTTGGTTCTGCCAAAGAGCTTTGGGCTGCTTTGGAAAAGAAGTACAAGACCGAGGATGTCGGGGCGAAAAAATTCGTCGTCGGAAAATTTCTTGACTTCAAAATGGTTGACACAAAGACCGTTGTGTCCCAAGTGCAAGAATTCCAACTCATCTTGCACGATATTCATGCTGAGGGAATGTCTCTGAGCGAGTCATTCCAAGTTGCGGCTGTGATTGAAAAACTGCCGACGGGTTGGAAAGACTTCAAGAACTACCTCAAACATAAGAGGAAGGAGATGAGTCTTGAAGACTTGATTGTTCGTCTTCGTATTGAGGAGGACAATCGTAATTCATCGGGGAAAATTTCGATGATGGAGGCTCGTGCTAACTTGATAGAGCAAGGCAACTCGAGTAAGAGAAAGTCCCTAGACAAAGGGAAGCAGCCTGCCAAGGTTTGGAAGTTTACCGAAACTTGTTATAATTGTGGAAAGCCGAACCATATGGCTAAAGACTGCAAGAGGCCAAAGAAGGCTGGGCCAAAGAAAGGTAAACCGAGTGCCCTTGTTGCTGAACACGGCCTTGTGCCGGGTGAACTAACCGACTTTGATATGTCGGTTGTGGTGTTTGAAGCCAATATGGTGGATGACCCAAGGGAGTGGTATATCGATACTGGTGCCACTCGTCATGTGTGTTCCGATAAGGAGGTATTTTCTGAATACACTCCTGCTAAGAGTCGGAAACTTTACATGGCAAACTCCGCCACGGCTGATGTGGCTAGAGTGGGCACTGTGGTGCTGAAGCTGACTTCTGGAAAGGAGTTGAAGCTTAAGGATGTTCTGCATGTCCCAGACATCCGCAAGAATTTGGTCTCCGGATCTCTTCTTGTTGAGCATGGATTTAGGCTGGTATTTGATACTAAGAAATTTGTTCTTAGCAAGTTTGGAACTTTCCTTGGTCGTGGCTATCTCGACAAGGGTATGTTTAAAATGAATGTAATGGCCGTGAGCCGTGTAACCGTTTTAAATGATAATGAAAAGCCTATTTCTGTTTATACCGTTGAGTGCTCTGATTTATGGCATATTAGATTGGGACATGTAAATCGAAATGCAATTAAACGGTTGATGAATTTAGAATTAATTCCTAATTCTAAAATTGAATCATATAAGAAATGTGAGATTTGTATTGAAGCAAAAATGGCAAAGATGCCTTTTCACTCGGTGGAAAGGTGTACTGAACCATTAGGCTTAATCCACAAAACAAACGTGTATAGCTCGGTCAACGATGGAATCGGAGTTCATCGCTTTAGATAAAGCTGGTGAAGAAGCCGAGTGGCTTAGAAATTTTTTATCCGATATTCCATGTTGGGATAAGACTTTGCCGCCTGTGATGATTCACTGTGATAGCCAAGCTGCTATAGGTAGGGCGCAAAGCAACTTGTATAACGGTAAGTCTAGACATATTCGTCGTAGACATAATACCGTACGCCAATTGATCACAAATGGTGTTATTTCCATTGACTATGTGAAGTCTAAAGAAAATTTGGCTGATCCTTTGACGAAAGGATTGAATAGAGATCAATTGGTGCTAGAGGGAATGGGCTTAAAAATCCACAATTAAAAGAATGATCATAGTGGTAACCCTACCATGCTGAGTGGAGATCCCAAGAACTTGGTTCAAAGGGAAAACTAAGCTATGAAAATTCAGTTGAGCACTTGGAACATATGAATGTCCAAAGCTATTCCCTAGAGCACTTCAAGTGCTGATGACCTGTTGATTGTGGTGAGGGTAAGTCATATAGACTTTTAATGAATCCCTAACCTTGTAAAGGTGGAGTATGGCAGGATACTGTTGATAGGGAGGTCACCTATATAAGTGTAAAGTGTGGGCCGCTTCAAATGTAAACACTTATGAATCCATTGTGTTTTACATGGCCAAAACGGACACAACGATAGAACGGAATGGAGTTAAGACTCTATTGTGTGAATGTCATTGTCTCGGTGTACACTATGGAGGAATAGTTCAAGGAATCATGTGCACTAGGCCGCCAGTGCATCCGATGATGTTTACTAAGAAAGGTTCAAAGCCAAAAGCTACCTTCTCTGATACAATAGAGTTTTGTGAGAATTGAGCACATAGTATATTATATTTAATTTACACTCATGTGGGGGATTGTAATAATTGAGTGTTAAATTAATATTTAAAATAATATTCTTCCTAATATTCTTCATAATTGGCCAACCACCGGGATTTGTTTAATTCCCATTATTGAGTGTTATAATTTTGAGCAATTGGTCAACACCGGTTTGTTTTCTTTCCCACCACCTCAACAGCTATCCATATATTAGTGTTTTCTTTCTTTACCTTCCAAACAACCATTTATATATTAATGTTCTCTTTCTTGCCCACTAAAATAGATTAATGATCATTGGCATCTATAAAAAGGATATCAGATCATTAGTTGAAGAGTGTGAAGAAAAGACACGGCAGAAAAGAGAAGGAAAGAAAAAGGAAGGAAAAGAGAGAAAAGAAAAGGGAAGGAAAAAAGAGAGAAGAAAAAAAAATTATATATTTTTATTTTTTTTAAGTGCTCAATTCTCGACTCCGTTACAGTTCGCCGGAGCTCGTAAATTTGGTGTGCTACAGATTTAGAGACGTTTCCCGTTGTATCTTTGGGGAAGTTACGTCTGAACCGTTAGCAACACACGAGGCGTATTCTTCTTGCGGAAAGAGTTTTACTCGCCTCGGCTAAAATCTTTCTAATTTTTTTTTCTATGTAATTTATTTTTCAGTTCAATTGTAATTTTCTATTTTTAGATTATTTGTAAGAACTGAAAAAAAAAATACATATCAGTTCGTAGGATTCCCGTGTAATTTTTATACTTGATTTATAACAGAGAAAAGGGACCAACCTCTTCAGTACATCTCAAAAAGTTAGAGATGACGAAGATATTGCTGCCAAGTCGTCCACAAATGATTCTCTGCCTGCAACCACTCAATCTGATGTTCCAACCCATTGAGATTACTTCAGACCATGATACTTCACATGCTTCTCATTGCCCCGTTCGTCGCTCTGTTTGTCACAAAGGGAAAACAAAATGTTGAGGAAGATGTTGTGCCGTAGAACCTAAGGATGATGAGTATGATCTCACGTCTATCTATTCCAATCGTTTTTGCTCCGAGGCCACCTGAGTTCGTTCGCAAATCTTACAGAATGTGATTTACACTCTGAACATAAGTTGGGTGATAAGAAATTTAAAAAGACTGATGTTATGGATTTGATTAAGATAGTTGGTCTTGAGTCCTCTGTGTCTAGTTTCGCTCCTTTTTGTTCTCAAATTGAGAGAATTCTATGCAAATTTGACTCCCTCCATCTTTGATCCCAAAAACCCCCCAATTTCTTAAGATCTTTCTTAGGAATAAGGTTGTTGATCTTGACCCATCTCTGTTGAACAAACAT